GCACAAGGCCACGATAGGAGCTCTATAAATAGAGCTCATGACCGACCTCAAAAAAGAGAAAGGAGGAAACCTTATAAAAAAATGCATTATGTAAAAACAAACATAAAAAAATAACAAACTTCGTCCCCTAGAACGGGGAACCCAGCGTTGAGAGCCCCTGCAAAAGAGGAAGCAAAGTCAATTAAAAGGAAAAAGTCAAAATACAAAAAAAAAAGTTTGGTTGAAAATTAAAAGGTAGATCTAGGGGATTTGAGACTTTTTTTGGTAAAGGGGATGTCGAATTTAGGTTTAGGGAGTCGGGGAGAGTGTTTTGGGATTTTTTAAAAGATTTTTTTACGGTCGACTATTTCAAAAATGACATTTCATTTTTAAAATAAAATTTTAAAGTTGTTGAGCCTCTGCCTAGATGAACTTTTTTTCAAGATGAGAATTTTTTTTAAATTATTGAGCCTCTACTTAGAAGAGCCTTTTTCAATATGAGAATTTTTTTAAAGTTATTAACCTCTGCTGAAAGGAAGCTTTTTCAATATGAAGATTTCTTTAAAGTTATTAAGCCTATGCTTAAAAGAGCTTTTTTAAAGATAAGAATTTTAAAGCCTTTGCTGAGAGAAGCCTTTTTCAAGATGAGGATTTTAAAATTGTTGAGCCTCTGCTGAGATGAGCTTTTTTAAGATAAAATTTTAAAATTATTGAGCTTCTGCTGAAAGGAGCCTTTTTCAAGATAAGACTTTTAAAGTTTTTGAACCTCTACTAAGAGGAGCCTTTTTCAAGATGGGAATTTTTAAAGTTGCTGAACCTCTGCTGAGAGGAACTTTTTTCAGATTTTAAAATTTTAAAAGTTGTCGAACCTTGAGTAAGAAGAGTATTTCGATTTGATGAAAAAAACCCTCTGATTAGTTTTTTTAAAAAAAAAACTCTTTAAATTTTAGACAAAATTATTATCTTTATCTTTGCCCTATTCTTGATCCTCAGCAATGTGCAAAGAGAGGTAGCTGTCGATACCAAATTTATCCAAGTTTTAATCTGTCGAGTATATTGAGTTTTCGAGCTGAAGCCCAATTTCAATTCAATTGGGCTTTAGGCCTAATTTTAACTATCGGGTCAAAGGCCCAAGTTCAATTCAACTGAGCTTCAGACTGATTGCAATCCAACCCAGGCCCAAAGCTTAATTTGGATTGGGCCCAAGGCCCAACTTGGTTCTTTAAACGCAAAACCTAATTTCTTTTATTTTCTTTATTTATTTACTTATTTTTACATTAATATTGAAAAATATAAAAAAATTAAAAAATTAAAAAAATAATAAACAAAGACTAAAAAATAATAAAAAATAAAAGGGCCGGTGGCAAAGGGTGCCGTGCACGGTGCCATTACCACCCCCTGTTCATCCCTATTCACATCCATGCTTTATGCTCCTAGCCATCATACCTTATCACCGGACAAAATAGAAGAAGCAAAAGTGGGCAGATAGGCTGTGCTGTATGGCACCCCCTTCTGCCAAGCCTTGTGCTACCTGCCTAGGCACAAGGCCATGACAGGAGCTCTATAAATAGAGCAAATGGCCGACCTCAAAAAAGAGAAAGGAGGAAACCTTATAAAAAAATGCATTATGTAAAAAAAAAACATAAAAAATAACAAACTTTGTCCCCTAGAACGGGGAACCCAGCGTTGAGAGCCCCTGCAAAAGAGGAAGTAAAGTCAATTAAAAGGAAAAAGTCAAAATACAAAAAAAAAAAAAAGTTTGGTTGAAAATTAAAAGGTAGATCTAGGAGATTTGAGACTTTTTTTGGTAAAAGGGAGGTCGAATTTAGGTTTAGGGAGTCGGGGAGAGTGTTTTGGGATTTTTTAAAAGATTTTTTTACGGTCGATTATTTCCAAAATGACATTTCATTTTTAAAATAAAATTTTAAAGTTGTTGAGCCTCTACCTAGATGAACTTTTTTTCAAGATGAGAATTTTTTTAAAATTATTGAGCCTCTACTTAGAAGAGCCTTTTTCAAGATGAGAATTTTTTTAAAGTTATTAACCTCTGCTGAAAGGAAGCTTTTTCAATATGAAGATTTCTTTAAAGTTATTAAGCCTATGCTTAAAAGAGCTTTTTTAAAGATAAGAATTTTAAAGCCTTTGCTGAGAGAAGCTTTTTTCAAGATGAGGATTTTAAAATTGTTGAGCCTCTGCTGAGATGAGCTTTTTTAAGATAAAATTTTAAAATTATTGAGCTTCTGCTGAAAGGAGCATTTTTCAAGATAAGACTTTTAAAGTTTTTGAACCTCTACTAAGAGGAGCCTTTTTCAAGATGAGAATTTTTAAAGTTGCTGAGCCTCTGCTGAGAAGAACTTTTTTCAGATTTTAAATTTTTAAAAGTTGTCGAACCTTGAGTAAGAAGAGTATTTCGATTTGATGACAAAAACCCTCTGATTAGTTTTTTTAAAAAAAAACTCTTTAAATTTTAGACAAAATTATTATCTTTGTCTTTGCCCTATTCTTGATCCTCAGCAATGTGCAAAAAGGGGTAGCTGTCGATACCAAATTTATCCAACTTTTAATCTGTCGAGTATATTGAGTTTTCGAGCTGAAGCCCAATTTCAATTCAATTGGGCTTTAGGCCTAATTTTAACTATCGGGTCAAGGCCCAAGTTCAATTCAACTGAGCTTCAGACCTGATTGCAATCTAACCGGGCCCAAAGCTTAATTTGGATTGGGCCCAAGGCCCAACTTGGTTCTTTAAACGCAAAACCTAATTTCTTTTATTTTTTTATTTATTTACTTATTTTTACATTAATATTGAAAAATATAAAAAAATACAAAAATTAAAAAAATAATAAATAAAGACTAAAAAATAAAAATAAAAGGGCTGCAAAGGGTGTCGTGCACGGTGCCATTACACCCCTGTTCATCCCTATTCACATCCATGCTTTATGCTCCTAGCCATCATACCTTATCACCGGACAAAATAGAAGAAGCAAAAGTGGGCAGATAGGCTGTGCTGTATATGGCACCCCCTTCTGCCAAGCCTTGTGCTACCTGCCTAGGCACAGGCCACGACAGGAGCTCTATAAATAGAGCTCATGGCCGACCTCAAAAAAGAGAAAGGAGGAAACCTTATAAAAAAATGCATTATGTAAAAAAAAACATAAAAAAAATAACAAACTTCGTCCCCTAGAACGGGGAACCCAGTGTTGAGAGCCCCTGCAAAAGAGGAAGCAAAGTCAATTAAAAGGAAAAAGTCAAAATACAAAAAAAAAAAAGTTTGGTTGAAAATTAAAAGGTAGATCTAGGGGATTTGAGACCTTTTTTGGTAAAAGGGAGGTCGAATTTAGGTTTAGGGAGTTGGGGAGAGTGTTTTGGGATTTTTTAAAAGATTTTTTATAGTCGACTACGACGACCGACGATCGACGATCAACCATCAAAGGCGATCGACGATGACCTACTGATCTGGTAAAAAGAAAGGTCTGAGAAATGAAGGAGTTAGAGAGAGAGATAAGAGAAAAAATGAGAGAAAGGAAAATTTTTTGGGTTTTACAAAAAGCTAATAGCCTAAAATGACGTCATTTCATTAAAGGGTTAAAATGATGTCATTTTGACCTTAAGAGACTCGTGCGTCAGCCTGATCCGACATAAAATTCACGCACCTGACTCGCAACCCGCTTCTGTCCCAAACCTAGATCAATCTAGTTGAACAAGCCTTAACCGAACCAAACCGATGTTGAACCGTCGAACCAACTGGACCTAACCAAGTCGCCAAGTTGACTAGACCCGCGTTGATCGAATCGTTGACCGGTCCATTCAGGTAAAAAAAAAATTTTTTTGAATTTTTAAAAATATTTTTAGATATTATTTTTATAATATTTATGCATATTAAAATATTTAAATTTGTTAGAATAAGTTTTTATGTCGTTAAAATTTTTATAATTATGTTAATTTTAAGATAAACTTTAATAATAATAAATAAATAATGATAAAAAATAATAAAATAAAAATAAAAATGAACTTTCTAATAATATAAATTAATAAAAAGTGTAAGAAAAAATTTTTTTTATTCGATGATGGGATTCGTAAGTACTTTGAGTAATGATACTTACGAAATCTCTAGGTGAAAAAATTTTTTTTAAATGCTACTAATATATTTGAGTATTTATAAAAAAGTTTTCAATACAATAAAATTTTTTTTCTTGTTAAAAAATTAATTAATAAATTAAGAATAAGTAATAAAAAATGAGAAAAATTAAAATTTTATTCGATGACGAGATTCTAAAAGTATTTCGAGCAGAGATGCTTTAAGAAATCTCTAGGTGAGAAGATTTTTTAAATATTACTAGTGTATTTGAATATTTATAAAAAATCTTTAATATAATGAAAATTCCTCTTTTCTTCATTTTTTTAAATGAAAATAATAATAAATATTAATAAAAATAAATAAAATTTCTAAATAGAGTAAAATAAAATGTGTGCATTAACACATTATCATTTGTATTACATGCATAACATAGTTTTTTTTTTAGAAAAATAAATTCGAGCCTCCAAGAATAAGATTATAAGGTATTTTGAGAAGCAATGCCTAAAAAATCTTTAGGTGAAAAAGAATTTTTCTAATGTTATTAACGTATTGAAATATTTTAAGAATTATTTCAATAAAAAGATTCTAATTTATTTTTCTCGAATAAAATTTGAGCATTAAATAAATAAAAAAAATAATTTCCATTATTTTTCAAACACAAAAAATGAGACTGTTTTTTATCAAAATAGAAGGATAACGCGTAGTTAAGTGATACCATTTTTAAACAGATGTTGTGAGAGTGTTAATTTTTTTCACTTGTAATCGACTCTCGAACTCAAACTATTTTATATTTCGTAAATTATAAAATTATTCTTTTTAATTAATTTTAAAATTTTATTAAAAAAATAAATTTTAATAAATGATCAATCATATTTAATTAAAAAAAAATCGATTATGACTTTTTTTTTTGTTTTTTAATTTTTATTTTTAAATTCGTCATATAATCCTACAAACGTTACGACACATGATTCTATGAGATTGGAAATTGGCTTGGGGCATCGTGCCTCCTCTATAATCATGCCAATCGGAAAGCGAACAGGGCTTGTCATAATTTTGCCTACATAGCCTCTATCGTCCCCTTCTAGCCATATTTTTGCTAAGCCCAAATCCTGTGCAAACTTTATTGCATTAACTGCTGCTATAGCTTCTGTTTGAAACGGGCTGCTAACATCTCACAATCGAATTGCTACATCTCCAAGTAGAGCCCCCTGGTGGTTTCTGACTATAACTCCTATACCTCCTGTGCGTTCTTCTCTACACAAAGAGCTGTCAAAATTGACTTTCACAACTCCTATTGGTTGGGTCCATTGTTGGATGGAGAGTTGTTGACTTTCATTCCTCACCCGTTTTCTACTGGAATTATTAAATAATATCGAACAAACATTTCACCATAAGTACTTAAATTTATGAGCCTTTGCTTAAATCCAACTGAAATGGATATTGTTCTCGGCTAGGACAGACCCAAATGAATGGGCCTAACTCAATCCTCTGCGGTGACGGACCAATGTCCAAAGTCGCAAAGTTAAGGGTTTAGCCTCTTCTTTCCTTTTCGCTGGTCTATAATAGGTTTTAGGATTTAGTACGGTCTTCTTGTATTAGGTTTTCAGCCTTTGGCTTTGGAGGCAGAGGAGAAAAAAAGGATTTTTTCTCGATAGGTTCAAGTGGAACAAGATCTTCCCAAATTTCAACAGATGAATTCATGTACCAGATGAAGATTCAACTTGCTTAGGCTTATGCCCAGAAATTCCTAGGTTACCCTCTCAAAACTCTTTTTAAATTCCTCTTGGTGTTTCATATCTAAACATAAAACGTAAAAATCTTAAATATAAAAGCTCTTTTCTTTTCCATCATAAATTTTAGTAATTCGTTTTCTTTAACGGCCATTTTAATTCATGGTTCATTAACCGTTCATCAAAATTTTCCCTTTTTCAATGCATTGTTTAGAACATGCCTGCTGGCTAGATAACTTCTATGGAGTTGGAATATTTTGAAGGTTGTCTGTTTAATAGACTAAAATGGGCACCTTTTCGATTTTCTCCATTGATAGCTATCAAATGTTTAGATGAAATCAACACCCAAAAAAAGCAGCCACAATCTTTTGATTGCTTTAAGTGGCTTAAACCCATCAACATCATTTGACTTAGCATGTCTTAAAATTTCATTTTGATTTGTCAAAGGATCACAAAGGTTTAGAAACGTTAATGCTAGAAAATATTTTCTATCCAGGGGTTACAATTTGGAATGCCTAATGTGATATCCCAATTCCACAGTGAGATGTTCTGAGTATCTATTATGGTGTATAAATAGAGATTTAAACTCAAACTTACGAAACATCTTTTATAAGACAAAATCTAAGATTTTCGGATATCTCAACTAACAGTTAACTCAATTTGTAATTTTGGAGTTGAATATGAGGCAAGGGAGATAATTAAAGCCAGTGAAGGACTATGACTTACCATTAGTTACCATTCTGGTAAGGTGAATAAAGTAGTTGATTCTTTAAGTAGAAAATTCGTTGGGAATTTGGTTGCAGTAATAATTTTTCAGAAACAGATTTTTCAAGAATTGAGGTTGTCTTTTATGGAACAAAATCGATCTTTTAGTCAAAACGGATAGTATTTCACAAGTTGGGTGCGAGTCTCCACAAATGATAATAGAGAGTCGTTAGTCGGATGAAAGCTAAGTGCTACATCTGAGAGCCACCTCTGGAATTCCGAGAGAGCTAAGTGTCACACTATGATAGTCATCTCTAAAATCCCAATTTCTGGTGTGATTTTGGTTCTATAATTCTGTGTGCGCAATTTTGTGGTTTTGACTATACTTTGTGTTGGGCTTAACGAGGATGTCAAGTGTTAACGGGGAGTTTATGACACTTCAATCTCACTTTGGGATATTCTAATAATCTGTTATGATATATAAGTTTAGACTTAAACTCTAATTTGTGAGAGGTTTTTTTGTAGGATAAAATTGTAAAATCTTCGAGTCAAAGTGGACAATATCTCACAAGTTGAGTATAGACCTTCACAAAAGTCACTTCTAGAATCCCAAAAGAACTAAGTGGTACATGATAGGAGTCTCTTTTAGAATCTTAATATTTGGTGTGATTCTGGTTTTATGGTTCTTTCTGTGTTTTGTGTTAGACTTGACAAAAACATCAAACTTTAACGGGAGGAGTATGTGCCACCTCAATCCCATATTGGTATATTTTGAGTATTTGCTATGATATATAATTAGAAACCTAAATCTAGACTTTTCAAGTATTTTTTGAGATAAAATTGTTAAACTTTGAAATCAAAACAGACAATACCTTGCTAGATGCGGGTCTCTACACCTAATAAATTATATTCAGTGCCATGTATACTTTTCTTCAATATTTTGTTTGTTCTACGAAAGCTTACTTGAGAGAAAGTTTGTTGACTTAAGTTGTCACTGATTAACATGGTTTGAAGATGTGTCACTAGTTCATATCTTATTTGTACGTTTACTTTTATGTTTAGATTAGGTGGCAGGCTCGCGCTTTGCCGCGAGTTTGTTTAAACTATGGGTATAAAGTTTTTGGATATGAAAGAAAAGCTATAAAAATGATAAGAGTTAAAAGTTAAACTTTACTATCTAATAATGAAGAAAATATTGTTTAAACTATGAACATAAAATATTAGAAGTTAAAGTTTACCCGAGTCAAACAATGATAAGAGTTAAAGTGATAAGAGTCAAACATTGGATAGGCGAAGCAAAATTCATGGCCCACAGAAAAAAGGAAAAAGAAAATCTTTGACAGTCCTGCCTCTGCTACAAAAATGTGATATGCTTCTCATCTTAACCCACTGGAATGCCCTCATTCAATTTACCCATTGAAGCACACATAAACCTGCATGTTCTGTCGATAGTAAATGACATAAATATTAATTTACATAAGTGTATTACGATTGGAGCTAGTGCAGGGCAGTGGGGGATTAAGTTTTTGGAGTAAGAATTGATATACTGACTGAAGATAACAGTAAGCATTTCTAGACATGCACTTCCAACAGCAAAAAAAATGACAGGTGTGCAACATATAAACATTGCAACATGAGTAGTATGATATGCACCGCTTACATAACATTTACAGGTGGAATAGATAAATGCAAAGAAAGGTGAGAGAGCACAGGTGTGGTGGAGAAAAGAGAAAGAATAAGCCTATAGTTTATTTTGATAAATCATCCAACCATAGCAACAAGTGAATAAAACCAATAACGTTGTAAATTTACAACAATCTATAGGAGAAAGGTATGGAAAACAAAAGAAATGTGCCGAAACTCTTGAGAAAGAAAGCTAGTGGAAGTTGGGGAAAACAGGGTAATAAGGAAAGGAATTCCATTTAACAACATGGGAACGGTAAAAGGAAAAGTAGCATAGAAAAAGATCATGAATTATCAGCTATTTGAACAAATATGTAATATATTGGCATCAAAATAAGTTTAAGTTTATAAATATAATAATAAAAAAAACCACGCATTCCATATTATATGCATCTACTCCTACTTTTCATTTTGTGTAAGTATCAATCCTAGTAAAGAGAAGAACTTGACACTTTCTTCAAATACAGGCTTTTAAAACAGTGCTCTTATCACTTCGAGTGCTAAAATGCTTGTAATTGTAACTAATGAAATAGACTTAAAGAAAGATCATAAACACATAAATAAATAGGTAACCAAATATAATGTGTATTAATCGAAATCAAGAGCCCTCAAGTTCTTCTCTTTAGATGTAAAGGGAAAAATGAAAATGACTCTTAACAATTTTTCCAAACTTGGACAGAAATCATAAACCAACTTTCCCAATAAGAACACCATCATCCATCACAGCAGCAAAAACAAATTAAAGCAACTTAACAACTTTTTCAAATTTAGATATAAATCATAAACTAATTTTGCCATTAAGAACACCATAATCCATCATTTTGATAAGATTTTAAAATCACAAAGGCTAAGGCTCATAATAACCAAAATTACAAAAGCAAATACCAACAAAACAATTTCTAAAACACAGACTCGCAGGTCACCAAATTGCAAGTTGTCTACCATGGTTTATACCTTCACAGGAAGAATTTCCATAACTAATGAAAGTAGCAGGCTAATTTTTTCGTGCACCATTCCTTCACTGGCTCTTTGAAGGTGGTTTTCGGGCTAAGAATAAATTTATAGGGGTAAATATCTCTTTCCTGCCATCCAAAATTATAGATTATGTCAGCATGTTAATTGACCTATAGAAAATGGAGATTGTGTTCAACTTCTATTTTTCTTTAAAAGTTTTCTATACGCATATCCATTCAAACTACAGTTCCCTCAAAGTTAGGGGTAAACCAACATGTAGAAGAACTTATGGAGAAATAGGACTTCTAACTAACCTGCCACCTTTAACCAATCCTTCTGCAGCCTTTTCCAAAAAATCTTGAACCCTTTTACTTCCCTTTGGAGCAAAGCCCACAAATTCTAGAGCCTTGACCTACAACGGGAAAAAATTATAGTTAAACACTTTATGAACTTTATATGACCATCTCATCCAAGAACATCATTTTTTCATAAAGAGCATTATGAGAATGGAGGGGCCTTTGAAAGCTTTTATCATATTTTTAGTGATAAACTGTTGGATAGTTGTTAGACATAAGCTACTTAATGAGAAGTGATTTTTACCTAAAGGTAGGTACCAAGAGATAGGGGAATCAACAGCAAGATCTTCCTCCCATATGACCTAGAAAGACAAAATTGAAATAATTACCACTCATATTCCATTTCCAATTAGAAAGGAAAAAGGGCGGAAGGGGGGAGAGAAGTAAAAATTCACCACAAAACTAGCTCTTTTTAAGAGCATCGCGGCACTGTCTAGTCAAGTTGATATCTGGAAGACCATCACCGATCTTAATATCTACTTGTTTACGGAAAACTTTTATATAAGATCAACTAATGGATGCACAATAAATGAAGGAGCATTTTTAATGTTGTTTAGATACCCACCTTAATTTTCTGATGTTCCTGAGTTGTTGCTGGTCGTGTACATGGACAACTCCGCCTGGCAATTTTTTTCCTTTTCCTTCACCGCTGGCGCTACTATCCAACAAGAGCAAAACCCTTTCACATATTTTTTTAATTCCTCTTGCTGTGAGCTGTGATCTTGCGCTACTTGGACTACCTTTTCATCATACTCCTTCAATAGTCAAAATTCCCCCAATTCCAATTGAGGGAAGCCCAAAATCTTCGGTTCCCGAAAATTAACAGAATCGCTGAAGTTGGAGCCCCACAAAATTTGTTCAGTCCAAGGCCTAAAGTAATAACCAAAAAAACAAGCCTCGAAAAACCTATTGGGGAGAAGACAAAATTTTCTTCAATTAAATTTTGTTATTTATTTACGAAATTTGTTAAATAATTACAGTTCTTTTATTATTCGAAGATAATATTATTATTTTTTGTTTTATTTACAATTATATATTATCAAATTACTTAATTTTTTACACTTTTTTAACAAAAAGTAATATTATTGCATTTTCATTATCTTTACATCTATTAGATATTTAATTACTTAATTTCTCACTCTTTGTAGTAGACGGTAATATTACTGTATTTAATTATCTTTACATCTATCCGTTATCAAATTACTTAAATTTCTTTCATAAAAATTTACTTAAATTTCTTACCCTATATAATATAATAAAAAATAATATTACTGCATTTTATTATCTTTACATTTATTAGTTATCAAATTACTTAATTTTCATATTTTACCTGCAACAAACTACTAATGCTGCTTTTTATCTCATTTCTTACACTTTTTCCTTATTTTACCGCTCTAGGTAACTGTAAATAATATTATCACATTTTTATTATATTTCACATTTATTTGTTATCAAATTACCATTTTTTAGACTAGATAACACAAAATGATAATATTATGTATGGTTATCATTACACTCATTATTATTAAGTTATAATATTTTTTTTAATTTGTTCTAATATATGAAAATTACAAATTAGAATTAATTACTTTTACACTTTTTCTTATCTAATTGCTTTTTTTATTACAAATAATGTAAAAGTGGTATTACTATTTTATTAATTTCACAATTTTCCTTGTCATATCACTTAATTTGCTACTCTAAGTAACAAAAATAGTATTACTCTATTTTTATTTTTATTTATTATCAATACATAATAAAAAATTATTATTATTACTTACATTTATTGTTACTATATTACTTGATTTGTTATCAAACATAATAAAAAAAAAAATAGTATTATTACATTTTGTTATTTCTACGCTAAACGCCATCTGAATAACACATTTTTTTTTTTTCTTGTTTTGGTTTTTCCTTCTTAAAAATAGGTATGAGCTAACAAAAATTATTTTATACATTTAAGATTAAAGGTGCAAACAAATCAAGCTTCTCATAAATTAGTTAAGCTCAATTTGATGAATATTCAAATTAGATTATTTACTATCAATTTGAGTTTAAGCTCCTTAAGTAATAAGTGAACTTGAGTTTGAACTTTATAATACTTGGTGAGAATCTAATTGTCGATCTTTTGAATAGGAGATAAAAGAATTACGTAATTGTCATCTACATTTTTATTTTTTTGAATTAGATACTATTCTTACTAGATGACTAAATTTCTTAAATGCTTTAATAAAATATATTGTAATTTTTTTTTTACCTTTTGACTAGATAATAAGAAATTTATGTAATTTTCATTTTACATTTTTTCTTTTTGAATTTCATATTAGTCTTAGCAGAGAAATTTCTCAAATGTTTTTATGATATATCTTGTAATTTTGTTTACCTTTAGAGTAAGGGATAAAAAAACTATGTAATTATTATTTTATATCTTTTCTTTTTGAAATATATATTATTCTTACCATGGTGCAATTTTTTAAAATGATTTGATATACATATCTTGTAATTTTTTTTCAAATGTTATCGTTTTCTCTAACATAATACACTATGTAATTTTACAACAAATAATTATAATTACACAATTTATTAAATAGATAGGACAAAATTGTATTATCACTTAATGTTATTTTGTTTACAATTATTTATTTAAAAAAAAACATTTTTTGTTGTATAAAAATTGATGACCGGTAACCTGTGTAACCGGTCAAAACCTGATGGAATGCTCATCAAGGGGGAGCTTCGCCCTAACCTTGTCGATTCTCAAATCATGTCCGTCTGTCCCTACGATTTAACAGCAACAGTAATGGCTGCTGATCTATCATGCACAGTTGTAGAATTTGTTAAGTAATTATCATTCTAGAAAGGTTTTCCATTTCTCCTTTCCGAATTACTTGTCTTAAAAAGGCATCATGCTTTCTTTTAGACTACGCAGATGGCTCTTTTTTTATTTCCTATAATATTCCCACATATATTTTCTATTTTTCTTATTAAGAAAAAAGAACAATTAAAAACTGCAATTAATTTTAATTAAGTTCTTAACTATTTTCATTCACTGAAAAGCAGGTTGCAAAATTAAGAAATCGTGTTCAATAAGCTCAAGTAATCTCTTTGAATTGATCAATCCAAATCGCGGCAGGTTAGGTAAAGACCAGATTGAGGTTCGGAAAGCGTCAAACAGGAGGAACAGGAACTGCTAGAATAACCTTTGTTTGACTATGGTTTTAGTTGTTTAGTCTAAGAACGCTGATCAGGTTGAGTAAAAAGGGGTCCGAACTTGTAGTCAAAAAATACGATTAAAGGACATCGGAATTGATTTTTTGAGACACTATAACATTTAAGTCAGTGAAATATATAAGGATTTGGTGAGAAAAAAGATAAACAAAGAGAACTTAAAAAAGGGAAGAAGGAAACTTAATTTTTACGTATCTAAGCTTTTTATATATATATATATATAATTTAAAAGGTTATAATATTATTAAGATAATTAACAATTGATGATAAATTTATGTATAATTTAATGAGAGATTATGTAGATAATTATAAATTATATTTAATAATTTTAGATAAAATCTTAAACTAATTAAAGGTCAGGTATACAATTATGAAATGATGTATTGATGAAATGTTAATGTAGATATCAAGCAAGTTCCTTTTTAGCAAGGGCAAGCCTATTCTATAAGGGTCTGAATGTTAATCTTTATCAGTGGTGGTGTAATAATCGAACATATGTTGGCTAAACCTTTTTGATTGAATAAATAGTTATAACAATTTTCAATTCAAATTTAAAAATATCTTTGCCATATTTAAAATAATGAATTTAAACAAATGAATTTAAATCTGATTTGTTATATAAATTATAAAAATAAAATATAAACCAACCAGGGACTTGAGTTTTATGATTATACGGAAGATTGTACAAGACATGATTTCTATGTTCAAATGCATTGTTATTAATTCTCAATATCAGCAAAAATCACCCGTTCAACTAATTAGTAATTATGGCCATTAATTATTGCCAATGTTTGTTGGCAAATGATTGAAGACTTATTCAAACACTTGTATTTCTCATTCGCCATTTTTTTGAAAATTTTAATATATTTTTATTCTCTTATCTTTATATTTATTTGATTGAATAAAATATTATTTATATAATTTTTTTAAAATTCATAATTTTTAAATATAAATTTCAGTTATATATTAATTAATTAAAAAATCAATTAATTCGTTCACATTTTTTAAAGTACTATTTACTTGCATTTCTCAGTATTTGGATCAAAGATCACCTAATCCCGATGATTAAAAAAACCCAAAATTCCTAATACATGTTTAGCTTCACCAAAAAAAAACACAAAATGTATTTTATTTTTGGTTACGATGATGTAATATATGCTGACGTCTCAAGAAGATGTAAACAAACACAAAACGTGTCCATGTCCCTTACCTTGCACTTTGCAATTGCAAGCTATTATTGAGGAAATTTAATGCTTATATTTTTGGTTGAGTTTACTATTTATGCAAAAGGTCACGATAGTGACATGCTTAAGATCATTGAGTGAACATGAGCTGCTTGATACTTGATAGTTAAACTTTGATGGGACAATAGCCCCGTTGGCATTTTGTCAGCCAAATATATATATATATATATATATATATATATTCTTGCCAGGTTGGAAGTTGGCATTTTAATTTATGCATCCACTCATCCTTACCTACAAATTTTAAAGATTTTTTTTGGTAGATAGGCCCGAAATTAAGAAAGATGTCAAATTTATTAATTCAAAGTTAAATTGTATAGTAATTATTATATTTTAGTTAAATGATAAAATTAATTTTTTTATTTAATATATTTTAATTAAATTTTTATATTTTAATTAATTATCAAATTTAATTAAATTATTAACAATTCATATTTTTTTCATTTAGATTGATGATATAATATTTTAATTTTTTTGATGTGACATATTTATTTATGTGTTCATTGAATTTGTTAACGAATCCATATGATTAAAGATGATGATATAGTAAATTAGTTTTTCATTTTAGTTTTTTGTACATTAACTTTTTTCAAATTGTACAATCTATCTTTCTACTCTCTCCATCTTAATATGTTAAAATTTAATCTCATAAATCAATTAATTATTGAATTTAAGATTTAATTTAAAATAAAATATAAAAAACGTAAAATATTAATTTAACCATGTCATTTTTTTTCACATTTAGATAAAATTTTTTTATATTTTAATTATTAATTAGATTTTAATTTGATAAACTGAGTTAATCTCAAATTAAATTTCAAGTTCAATATAAACAAATTATATCTTTTCTTATCCTTCTTTTATTTATCTCTTTTGATTTTTTATTCATTTTTTGTTAATTTCTATTTTCTATATTTTAAAATCTAAAAAAAATAAAAATAGATAAAAAAACCAACAAAACTAAAAAAAACCATGATAGAAACATGAAAGGATCAAGAAACCTAAAATCAACAAACCTAGCAAACTTAGATATACAATCAACAATAAAATAATGACAAAAAAAAAAAAAAGAACTAAGAACAACTAAAAGTAATTTTTTGGTAGAAAAGATTTTTTTTTAAAGATTTCAAGTTTAGAATTTTAAGGTCATTCTATTTAGTTTTGTTTTAAAAGATGACATACAATAGTGGTATCAGTGGTTGGCTTTTTGGGTATTGATGGTTTTTAGGATAAATTATTTTACGATAGTTGAATTTTTTGATTGGTAGCTTTTGAAAACCAAAAACTAAGTTTGTTGAATAAAATTTATAGAGAGAAAGAAAGAAAGAAAACTAGGAGGAGAAAGAGGAAAAAAGAAGAAAATTAAAAAAAAAGTATATTTTTTTAATAGGTTGAAACAATTATGTTTTAGAAGACAGGTCTAGTTTCACTCATGTGTTAACTCATATATTGATTT